GGAAAAAAGAGGGAGGCTAAGCAGGATGGAACGTGAAGGAGATGAGGAGGATGAAGATGAGAGTGATTGATGAGAGGCCATGGGTGGAGGTGACTCTGTGATCAGAAGGAAGTGGCAAGAGAGGAAAGAAGGATACTGGAGACTTGATCTCTGATGAAGGTTGAAGAAAGAAGGGTACAAGAGCAAAGAAGAAATGGAGATATAGGCAGATTGCTTATCATGCCTGGATAAATCGAATAAGAAGTAACACGACTGGATGAAGAATTCAAGAATGGAAGGAGAAGAACACATTGAGGTCAAGAAGAGCCCACTAGTAAGAAGATGATGGAAGATGATATTTCGAGGACAGAACTTAGAAGAGAACCTTTTGAAGAATACTGATATGTCAACGACGAGAAGAACAGGACGAAGAAAACTCAATCAAATACAACTTATAACTGGTGGTGGAGAAGAAGAAAATAAGTGTTGGTTATGAAGAATCAGAGTGAACCAAATCAACAATCACTGTTACAGCTTCAACTGAACAATATTGATAATGCAATTGTACCAGCCAAGGTACCAGTTGATTCATATCCAAAGCCAGTTTCTGGACAGACACATAATGGCACCTGTTAGTGTCTAGGAGATCCGGAAGGGGGGTGCATTGCTGAGAGCCTCGATTAGAGGAGAAGAGAAAATAGCTAACAGTTGAAACAACCGGCCATTAGAAGTGATAGTGAATAGGGGAAAAACTTATTTGGGTTTAGGCCTAAAGAGGTTAAACATCTCACTAATTGATAACGAATTAGGATAGGGATTTGATGTAGTAAAACAGTTTAATTACTCTTAGGGAATCAATTGAGCTCTGCTATAAAAGTCAAAGAGGAAGTAAAAGAGACATACTAATATTAGGACAATATACCTATGGCATTGTTGGGAAAGAGATGCATGGTGTAAATTGAAGCGTACAATAAGATGTACACTAGACGACTGACTGTCTGGTAGAATATTTTAAAAAGTAGGGTTTTTGGGAATCATTTGCTTAAAAAGATAATATCATAGGAAGGATGATAATCTATTAGATTGCCTATTAGACAATCTGTCTGGGAAAATAAACTTAATAGGGTGACTGTTATTCGGGGTTACGTTCTTACACAAAGAGATTTGAGGCTAGGCTAAAGGAGGTTTAATCATTTGCCAAGTCTGTGTGAAGGAGTCAGGAGCAGGTGGGGAACTTCCCAATCACATATTCTAAAAATTGGTGGTGAAGGAATTTTGTGAATAAATCAGTGGAAAAGGTTTTTTAAAAAGGTTAGGAGAGAAGATTAGATTAAAATAAGTTAGGAGAATTAGGGTTGAAGGAACTCTAAGACAGTAAGCTAAGTTTCAAAGTTAGTAGTAAGACAGAGAGAGAGAACAGTGTTAAATGACATTTTTAGAGTTTAGTGGGAAGATATGGTAGGAGTTTAGATCTGTTAGGAGCAGATGCATTGAGAAAGTATGCGTTGCTGAATGATAAGAGAAGATTGAGGGTGATTGAGTATCTATATTTACAGTTTCCAGTAGGAAGATCAAGGTAATTGTGGGTGTATTTTGTTATAATCAAAAGGTTTAAAGTTTGAAACTTTAGATGTAGGACTGAAAGGGGGAAAAAGTGACACTAGTGGTGATGGATGGAAGTACAAGTAAAGAGTTCAGAGCTTTGGGAAAACTAGGGATGGAGTAATAATAAGGACAGTAACACGTGAGTCTATTAAAAGAACAGTGAGAAGCAATTTAACTCTTTCAACATTGATAGTTATTGAAGCCATAAATATATCGCATTTGATTATAAGGGTCCAGCACCAATTATAGGGGGAAAATACTGTTATTAGGGCTAGGATGATAATAATAATAATATGCCATTTAGGATGGTGACGTTCCTCCCACAGAGAGAGAGAGAGAATTAGGGAGAATAAGTATTGTTAGCAGGACCAGAAGTAGAAGCGGTTGCACCTAGTCAAACGAGGTATTATTTTGCGTAAGGTTACAGATAAAGATCAGGGAGAATGTGTACTTATCTAGTGAAAGCATAGAAATTTGTTCCGGTTAACAATTATTGGTTAAAGGGCTATGTAATTCGTTAAAGTGACGCTTATAATGGAAGATTTGAAGTCTGTAGAACTTTCCACAGTCACAGAGGGAGTTAAGGATAAGTTTATTACAGTAGTCACTGAAACAGTAAATAATACACAAAGTATATTGGTAGCTTTTTCCACTAGAAGGAATTAAGGGTTTAATTCATCAACTAAATCAACGACGTTAATGGTAACTTTGGAAAGAAATTAATGACTCAGGAGTTTATGTTACGGATGGAGAGGGCTGTCAATGATAGTACGAATAGGATTAAAATAGGAGAGCAGATATTAATAGAAACAATATAGATTAATCTGAAATGGAGAATATAGATTCATCATGGAGCTACAGGATGAGGTCTTTGATTTTGATGACAGACGGGAAGAGGTATCTGCAGTGCCGCTTGTTCGTCTGTTGTGGAAATTAGAGATAGATTAACTCATTCTGTAAGAATCAGTGAGGAATCTTGTGGGTTGATGTCTGTTGGGGATGCCAGCACCAGACATGTTAGACGGTCGCGCGGCCTCTAGCGGGTATGGGTCAGTCTTATGCTTTGTCATGACTGTGGTATCAGCAACAGTCATTGACAGATAAAATAATGTCGTTGTCAGAACAGTAGGGTTTAAGTGTTCTTGGGTAAATGGATTACCCTATGGGAATTGTTAGATGGAAAGTAAAGTCAGGTAACAGTGGAAACCTGAAGTATTCAGGTGAACCAGTGAGGATAAGAATTGTTTTTGTTCTAATAAAACATATGAGGTAAAGGGGTATGTTTATGGGAATATCAGAGTGTGATGAGTATAGGATAACTTAGGATAAGTATGACCTTAAGGGTAGTAATGACAAATAATATGTTACTTAGGACTTTGATGGTTAAAAGATTAGCTTTTGACTGACAATGTGACTATTGGGAATTTTAGAGATATTTGGTGGGTTTGTGATGATAAAGTATATTCTTACCCTATGGAGGGATAGGATGTTGTTACATGTCAACGTTGTAAGCTTCCATATGAAGTTTTTACCATTTAAAAGAGGAGGGGGGTCCCGAACACAGAACAATCTGAATTTAGGTCTAGAAATTGGGTAAAGAGAGATATGGTGACATTTAATAGTCTTTAAGTCTAAGGGAGAAGGGGACGGTTTCCATGGTATGGTGTAACATTTGGGAAGATTCATATTGATAACTATTAGTTATAATTTGAGTCCAGATAGTTCAGAAAAGATCACGAGTGTTATAGATGCGTTGGAAAATATCAGGGATGCATTTGGTTGCAAGATCAGTTAGGCCAGTAGGGGGCAGTGATGGGTTAATGACAGCTTTGATAGCACTGTGTTAATATGTTTACTGACTTTTGAGGAAGCTATGAGATTGAAATAGGTTGGAGAATGATGCTGGAGGCAACACTCAGATGCCGGTGTTGACTGTTCCGGATCTGGACGAAGACGGACGAGGGGGTCTAGATGGACTACTGAATGGATAAATATCCTTTTTGATTATTTGATCATTTTATTTTTATTGTTTCAAGGAAAATATTTTTTTAGTATGATTTTAGAATGATTTTATGAATCAAGGGGGGGATAGGTTAATGTGATTCATACATCATTTATGTCATTTTATATTCTTAAATTGATGTTGAGGTTTAATTTGAAAATGTTGTTTTGCAAAAGATACTGTTTGGTCTTTTATTTTCTTCCAGAAGCATTTGGGAGAACATGTGGAGATTGAAATATTCAAACAAGGACAATATGAAGGGACAATATGACTGGAGGAGATGAAACAAGGAGGGTGTGGAAAGGTTCCGATTCCATCATCAACGATGCAGTGGAAGTCGAGACTACGGAGGAGAGGAAGGGTAGTGGACTACATTCCAGTGTCTGCAATGAAATATAGACATATTTGATGTGTAATACATAATTGTGTCATATTCTTAGGTATTGATTTTAGTAGAATGATGTTTGAGGTTATTGAATACATGTGAGGATCTTAGATGTTTTTGTTTATTTCGTGAATGTTTAGGGACAGGACGTCTAGGCAGGGAGAGATTCACTTTAGGGTCCTATGGGTTGACCAGCCTGAGAGTGGATGTTTCTGGATAGGATTTTGTTTGCAGGGGCTTACATGTGTATTTAATTGCATCATAGTTTCAAATGTATGTACATGGTTTATGAGTTTATCTGGAGTACCGAGGTGGTTGCCTGGGGCAGAGGGACCGTGAGAGAATTTTACTGTCTTGATTGATGGATGGATTTGGAACAAAGGTTGCCGGACAGTTTTTCGCTCTCACACTCATAAAGATTTATTCATAATTCATAGTAATGTATTCACACTCCATAAAGATTTATTCATAATTCATAGTAATGTATTCACACTTCATAAACAGTTATTCATATTTCATAAGAAAGGTATTTACACTCTAGAGGAGAATGTTTTGGGGTTTAAGGTTAAGGATACTCCATAAGATAAATTGTTACTGGTCATAATCCTATTCTGTTTGTTGTCGAGACTTTTAATTTGTCTCGAAGGGGGGATATGTAGTGTATTAAGATTATGATGGTGCTAAATGTTTTTCATGACGAAATGGAATGTTGGTTGTTCAGGCCAGAGGGGGGATGTTTTATGATGTTATTTGAAATGTGCCGCTTGGAGGGTGACGCCCGAGGGGAGACTGGTGATTGGCCAGAAGAGGGGGTAACCCTTATTTTGGTATTGTCTATATAAGAAGGGTTTTAGACAATAAACCCCAGAGCGGTTATTATAATTCGAGGCCACTGCTCTCCAGACAACGCGTGTCTGTAACTTATGCTGTAAGCTTGTGATAATGAATAAAGACTTTCTAATCAAAGGGCAGCATAGGCAGACTCCTTTGTTTTACAGCAAGAGCACCTGTAGCCGACGCGACACGACAGTACATTCAACAGATAATTGACATGAATGTCCATGGCTTTAGTGTCCACTGGGTAGTTTGTGGAGGCAGAGCTGTAGGCTCCAGCTTTCCATCACTCTGATTGTTGATCCATGTCCCAGATGAACTTCAGAGTCACGTCCTTCATCCGCTCCTCATAGACCTGGTCAAACCTCTCACTCTGGGCCACTGTGAACATGTTCTTCCACTCCCCGATTTTACCTGTCACAGCACAACCAACACGTCATTATTCAGAGTAAGAGCATTATAAATGGTTTATATGCAGTTTATTTACAAACAGTTTTTTTCCCCCAATCTCAGGCCCATATTCACGAAGAGTAGGAGTACTGATCTAGGATCAGGTCCCCCATGTCCATGTGATCTCATTTATTATGATCTAAAAGGCACAACTGATCCTAGATCAACACTGGTATAGAGACGCTGTGTGAATACAGGCCCTGACCTTTGCGTAGGAACTGCCCCTTTTTGAGAATGTCCTCTGGTATGAACTCGTAGTTGGCCTTGCGGTCGTGTTTCATGTTTTTGAACGTGGCTTTTTCCACTATCTTGTTGATGTCTGCTTCAGTCAGGTCCCGCTCAAGGAAGCGGCAGATCTTCAGCACGGCTGTCTTCAGATCCTGAGAAAGGAGGAACATGTCCATTAAAGATGGAACCCCTGTGCCTGAGGTTGGTCAAGTGGTGAAGTCCACTGCCCTCGGCACATATGAAATCCCCTGCCTGTGTGGGATCACACGCCGGCCCCACAGCACTTCTACACACTATGTCCTCTGTCTGTCTCCCTCTTCATTTCATGTCCATCCTTGTTAATACAATTGGAAAATTAGGCCAAAAGATTGGGGATAGGCAAGCCAGGCTGGTTGGTTGTCTCTAATTGGCTATCCAGCAGAGCAGAGATCAGAGGTCATAGGTGTAAGATGAGTCTGTAATGTCTTACCATGATCATGTCCTCATAGGTCAGAAACAGGATGTTGTACTGGTCTCTCTTACTGTGCCACTCTCTGATGTGGTCAAACCCAGGACGAAGCGCCAACTGTAGGGCAATAACATGGTCATAACAGGCTGCGTCACCAAGGTCATTACAGTATTCATGGGTTGGTCAAAAGTAGTGCACTATACTATATAGTGAATAGGGTGACATTTAGGACGTAGCCTGTCAGGGTTATAACAGGCTGTTTGCGTCCCAAATGGCACCCTATTCCCTATATAGGTCACTACTTTTGACCAGAGCCACTTTTGACCAAAATTAGTGCACTATGTAGAGAAGGAATATGGTGCCATTTGGGACCCAACCATGGTGTTATATGAATGATGTCTTTACTCTACCATTCCCTGCTAACCACTGGTCCAGAAAGTCCTCGAAGCTCTTTGGGGTCTCAAACATGGCCCAGTTAATACACCAGTGATAGTAGGAAATCACGTTGTCCTTTGGGTTCCGCATCACATAGATCATCTGAGAACAAGAGAGACATTTACAGCCCTGTGGGCTCTGGTCAAAAGTAGTGCACTATATAGAGAAAAGGGTGACATTTGGGATGCAAACCATACAGTGGGGCCTCCATCTTCCCCTCCTCTGCCTACCTTTGCCTTCTTGTTCCTCAGGCCTGGGGGCATGAGTACGGGGGGTGAGGTGGAGGCGAATAGCCGCGGGTTGGGGCGTAAGGAATAGTCAGGGCGTTTTTCCATATACTCCAGCCATGGCATCATCTCTAAGTTGTTGGGATAGACATCACCCATCTCTGACTCACAGATAGAGGTGATGATCTGCTGTGCCCAGATCGTTCCTACAGGTTCAGCATCATGAAAGGTGTCAGTCATAGAGCTCTTGGGAGCGACATGGTTAAAGGGGATTCGGAAAAAAAAAAAACAACGAAGCAGTCCCCCTGCCAGAGCTGAATGGGCTGGAGTAAAACAAGCATTAAGACAGTTGAACTATGTCTCATGAGAAATGTATAAGTTATATTCCCCAATTGGTAGTTACAGTCTTGTCCAATCGCTGCGCAACCTCCCTACGGACTCGGGAGAGGCGAAGGTCGAGGCCATGCGTCCCTCCGAAACACGAACCCTGCCAACCCGCACTGCTTCTTGACACATGCTTAACCCGGAAAGCCCAGCCGCACCAGTGTGTCGGAGAAACACACCGTACAACCGTGCATGTGCCCGGCCCGCCACAGGAGGCGCTAGAGCGCGATGAGACAAGGACATCCCGGCCGGCCAAACCCTCCCTTATCCCGGACGACGCTGGGCCAATTGTGCGTCGCCTCATGGGGTCTCCCGATCGCGGCCGGCTGCGACACAGCCCGGGATCGAACCCTGTAGTGACACCTCAAGCGCTGCAGTGCCTTAGACCGCTGCGCCACTCGGGAGGATTGAAGTTATATTTTTCAAGAACAATAGATATCACTCATTTCAAATTCCAAAGATGGATGTTCCAATCCGGATTGTGCCTTTAACTTTCTAAAAGGCTGTTTTTATTCTCTCTACCTGTGACAGGTTTCTCTCCTCACTGATGACCTAAACAGAGCAGGTTTCTCTCCTCACTGATTACCTAAACAGAGCAGGGATCTCAACCTTTTTCATGTCAAGTACCCCCAAGTATGATAGGTGTGTGGACCATCTCAAACGCTGTTTATCAATCCAGTAGATTTGTCACTCACCTGACTTAGGGTAAGTGACCAGAAAGATGTCACTGTCCCGGATCTCAAAGGTCTGCAGGGAGTCAATGTACTCAGCGGTTACCAAATCCTTCGCAAAAACATAGTCCTTGTACTTGACCAGGTCATCGGTGAGCTTCTCCATAATAATGATAGTTTTGTATATATATTAGTATCTACAGTGGATATGAATAGCTATGCTGCAAAGAACCAAATGAAGTTGGAATACAGCACGTTTAGACTTTGGAACCTGTGATAAGGTTCACAGAGTTATTAGGAGCAGGGTTCATGACGTTGCAATAAAGCACAATCCTGAGTCATCATTCTAACGCTACGACATGTTACTGAAGTTTAAACACAGTAACTAACTCCACTCGGTGCAGTCAGTCAACTTCTCCTCTTCTTCGTGCATGTAAAAAGACAGACTGAACCCACATACAGTGCAGTCGGAAATATTCAGACCCCTTGACTTTTTTCCCCCTTTTTGTTACGTTTTCAGCCTTATTCTCAATTGATTAAATTGTTTCCCCCCCCCCCATAATCAAATTTCACCAATACCCCATAAACAAAACAAAAACGGTTTTGAATTTTTGCAAAAAGTAAATTTTAAAAAAAAAAAACCGAAATATACATTTCTCATTTTTTGGGGGAAAAATATTTTGAACCCCCCCCCTGTTTTTTTTACTTTTTCCCCCTGCAAAAAAATCCTTCTTTAAATTTTAATGGGGTTTATTTAAAAAGTGAGAGACAAAAAACAAAAAAAAAAAATCAGAAAAACGCATGTCAAAATTTTAATTGATTTTCATTTTAATGGGGAAATAAGTTTTGACCTCCTCCAACCAGAAATTTCTGGCTCCCAGGGGTATTTTATACAGGGAACGGGGAATTGGGCACACTACGCCGTGAAGGACTGAAATCCCGCAGCGACCGCAAGGTCCCCCGCTCAAGAAAAAATAACATGCCCCTGGTTTGCCAATGAAAATTGTATTTGAGGTGAACTGGGTTTAAAGTGCTCTTTGGCATCAACTCAACTCCCCTGTTTGGAGGGAAGGAATGCTGCCTATGACCCCCGAACACCCTCCCCCTTTAAAAAATAAAGGGTGGAAACAATGCTTTTTGGGGGGTTTTTTTGCTAAAGGGGGCGGACAACTTCACCGCATCAAAGGGACGATGGACGGGGCCTTTCCGTCAAAACTTGGTGAGAACCTCCTTCCCCAGCCAGGGCATTGAAAATGGGGCTGGATGGGATTCCGCATGACAGGACCCAAACCATGGCCAGGGAAAAAAAGAGTGGGTCAAAAAACACATAAGGGCCTGGAGTGGCCTAGCCCTCTCCCGCCAACCCAAGAAAAAACGTGGAGGGGGTGAAGGGTTTGAGTTCCAAAAAGTCGCCTGAAAATAATGATTTGGGGAAAAATCGCAAAGGAGTGGGACAAAATCCCCCTGGGATGTGGCAATCTGGTGGGCCCAAATCAAGAACGTCTGCCCCCTTTTGATTGCCAACAAAGGGTTTTGCCACCAAGTACTAAGTCAGGGTTTTTCAAGGGGGCAAATACTTATTTCCCCCATTAAAAAGCAAAACAATTTTTAAAATGCGTTTTTTCCCGGATTTTGTTTTGTTATTTTTTCTTCACGTTCAAATAACCTACTTAAAAAGTATAGACTGATCATCGGCTTAACCTAAACCCCCACATTACCCATTTTGCAGACGCTCTTAGTGGTGCTACATATTTTTTTTTATTTTTCATACTGGCCCCCCCCTGGGAATCAACCCCCCAACCCTGGCGTTTCAAACACCAGCTCACCAAATGGCTACATCCCTGCCTGCCATTCCCCCCCCTCTCCCTGGCGACGCTAGGCCCAATGTGCGCCTCCCCGGGGCTCCCGGGCGTGGCCTACACAGAGCCTGGATCGAACCCAAAATTGGTCACAGCTAGCCCTGCGATCAGTGCCTTTGACCATTTGTTTTTTTTTCTTTTTACTTTCATGTTTTGATTCACTTAGGAAAAAGAAATTTGTTTCTAAAAGTTGAAAAGATTTGTTGATTTCCCATAAGTTTTTAATACATTTTTGTAATTTAATGCTGGATTCCGTGATTTTCCGCAAAAAACCTATTTATGGGCCCTAGTCCCTGAAATTTTCCATCAACAAGGATATACCAGTCTAAACGCCTATCTTCTGAGCTCGGAACTAAGCAGGGTCAAGGTGGGTTTGTACTTTGGGTGGGAGACCGTCTGGGAAACCATGTGTAAGCTTTTTTTTCCCTGAGGTACTCTTGTGCATGGGGCAACGTCCTTTTATTTTTTCACCCTAATAATATCCCGTATTTTTTTTTGGACTAAATAAGTTTCTATGGTGCCCTGCCCCGCCTGATCAAATGAAATAATATACTGCGTTTTCCCCCAAAATTTGGCAGCATCCCTTTGTTTTTTTCGGGTTTATTAAATTGTGGAAATCGAATCACTGATACATTTTTTTAATGTCTTTTGTTTACTTAGGGAAAAGAATGCGTTTTTAACAAGTTGAAAGTTTAGTTTTTTTCCACTCAAGTCAATATTTTTGAATATTGTTAAAAATTTGGTTTAAAGTTTTTGGATTTCCCTGATTCTCCCCACGCCTTTTTTTTAGGGCCCACTCCTGAACTTGTCATAAGTCAAAATAGGAATGCCCCTTTTTCCCCCCCAAGACTCAAATAGTTGCTAAATGTAAAAAAAGGTTTTAGTTCTTCAGTCTGTCACAAAATGGAACTTTTTGTCTCCCTTTCAAGTACTACACATTTACTTTTTTATAGTGTACCCAAAACTTTTCCCCTTTCTTACGGCCTACCAGCTGATGCCCGATCTTTCTGTCTTGGGGAACTAAACAGGGTCGGGCCAGGGTTTGTTTGGTGGGAAACCCCCTGGGAAAACCCGGTGTTTACGATTTTTTTTCCACTAGAGCGTTTTCACGGCCCCTTGCATGCAGGGGGGGTTCCTCCTGCAGGCAGAGGGGGTCTTAGTGATGGATTGGGGTTATTGGAGCCACCCCGGGTCAGGGTATTTAAAACGCTTCCAACC